CAAAAAAGGAATTGTTAACTTTGAAACAAACATTGCCAATTACAAAATACATTACAAAATGAATACATTTCTAAGTTAAAGATATTTGTATTCAATAACAAATTCCATGTGAGTTAAAATTTGCACTTACCAAATTAAAATATCATACCTCAAAGTTTACCCTTTGTTTCACTCTTAAAATTTTACAAATAAAAACTCCAAGTGGACACACAGAATGAATGATAGCACTGAAGTAATGAAGTTTTGCTTCTTGACCCTTATCATCACCATGCTATCATTGTTATTAAAAATCTACTATGTAAATACAGAAATATGGATCAAAGGCATTGTAGACATGAACTATGTCTGAAGCCTTGGATTATCCTGAACTTTATGACTTTGCTTGGAAAAATATCTGTACAGATATCACTGAAGACTAATCATATAAATAGGAGTTCTCTAAATTAACTTCCATGTAGAATATAATAGGACCTCTGACATCAAAGTGCCTAAGTCATTAGACTGCTAACCAAAAGGCTGGTGGTTCAAACCTACCAGCCACTCCTTGGAAGGAAGACCAGGCAATCTATTTTTGTAGTAATATTGCCTCGGAAACCCAAGGAGGGGTTGCTAGGAGTCCGATACGACTTGACGGCAGTGAGTTTGGTTTTATTTATTTATTTTTTTGGTTTAGTAGAATATAATGTTTATTAAAAGATTAATAATAAAATAGTATTAATTTGAACATCACGTATATATATATACATATACATATTTTTTTGTAGTAAAACTTAATATTAACTAGAGAAATTGTTTATAGAACTTAGACCAACCAAGAGATATTTTTTGGGACAAATTATTTTATTATCAACATTGTTTAGAATTACTAGTTTACTACAGTTTTTAAATTCTCTACAGATAATGAGAATTATGACTGCCTACACCCAAGGTGACTTCTCCTACTGTAGCACCATTGTATGCTACTCTTCAAGATGAAGTATGCCATTGAAGTAGTATTCTTGAAGATGAACTAGCTGTGTTAAACATATTTAACCTACTTATGAGAAAACCTTTTTTAAATTAATTTGAGTGCCTACTGAGTACATGGAACTGTGCTTTGTGTTTTATCCTCTAGACTGTATGAACATGAATGTTGCTAATCACAAATCAATCATGTTTATTCACTAAAGCCAGATCAGCAGGATTGAAAAAAAGAGAGCTTCATTAGCAGTTATTGTGTATACTTAATCTGTAAATTAAATCTCACAAAAACTCACTTATGTTCTATTTTAAAGGCTTTTCACTAACTCAGATTGGCTTTCTCTCTGTTTGCTCCAAATAATGAAGGTGTATTATAAATCAACATTTGGAAGAGCTTTCATGACATTAACATTTACATAAACATTAACTATTTAAGGTTTCTTGGTATTATTTTGGTGTTACTTAAATTTTCATGAATTATGTGGCATTAGATTCATATGTTCTATTTTTATAAGCAGCTATCTCAAGAGAAGAAAAAATTTTAACTCTGATATCAATCTTTTTCAGACATCCACAGGATCAACATAATCTCTAATCTGCCTTCCTATAATCATGCAGCTGCATACATGCACAAATTTTCTATGTGATCACAGTACTCTTGAAAACACGGTCTTTTCACTTAAAAGAAAATCTCACTTACCTCAAAGGCCATTTCCGTATGGGATATCATGCCACATTAGAAACAGGTACATCTGGCAAGAAAGTGACATACACAAGTCTTAAATCCACAGTTAATTTCTCCCACTTCTACTTATAGCTCCTCACCCACAAAATTCCCTCATTAGTCACCTGCACCTACTGAAGCAGCACCTGTATTAGTATTTTCCAAATAATTTTATTGATAAGAATCACCTGGGGACGTTAAAAATGAAAATAAAAATCACAGGCTGCTCCCCTAAAGATCAGATTTCAGTGGTTTTAAGTGAGGCTCTGGAATCAGATTTTAAACAAGTGTCCCAAGTAATTATCAGCCACACGAATTTAAGTACAATGCTCCAAGACAAAGGTAAAGAGTTTCCAGAGATTTTCCCAGTTTCTCTAGTACTAATTCTCCTTGGGGTGTTACTAATCTTAGGGTATTTGAATGAAAGAGTAGGTCAGGTTTGGAGGAAGCAGAATGGCATCTTGCCTAAACTTCTGATTTAGGTTTTCAGCACCCAATGACTCTACCAAAGGCAGGGAAGATTTTAGTTTGGGCATTGATGTAACACATCACCAGGGGGCAGCATGGAGCTGACAATTTATACCGGTTTGGGGATTTTTGATTACACATTATAACATAAAATGGTTGTACCTGCAATTTTCACGAAGTAGCACACTTAAAAGATTGTGGTAATACATAGTAGAACGTAATTTCCACACAGATTTCTCTCTAGAGAGTCTTTATAGGCTGCCCTTGTAGAAAAAAGTTCCCTTAAAGTAGCATAGCACCTAAATCTAAAAACTGCAGAGATTCTAGGTAAATCAAAGTAATGTTCCAAACTCCTCCTCCTCTGTTAACTAGCGCTGAAACTGCATGCTTTTCAATGATTTTAGTCAAATGGTGTGTAGAATTTGGGTCAGAATCAACTCCATAGCAACTAATAACAGAGTTCTACTAAGTGTGTGGGAGCTCTGGTAGCGTAATGCCTAAGGCACTTGACTGCTAACCAGAAGGCTGGCAGTTCAAATCCACCAGCCACTCCTCGGAAGGAAGGTTGGGCAATCTACTTCCTAGTGATACTACTTGGGAAACCCAAGGAGGGGTCACTATGAGTCGGGTCCTACTCCACAGCACATAACAACTGTGTGTGGTGTGTATGTGTGTGTGTGGGGGGGCGGGGTGGATAATAACTTGGGCAAGCTATTACCAAGGTTTTTTCCAATGTTACTCCTACCTGTCAGAAAATCATACCCCTAACCTCATCCATAAAGAGTTCTGGTGGCACAGCACTTAAGGCTGCTAATCAGAAGGCTGGCAGTTCAAATCCACCAATCACTCTGCAGAAGGAAGAAGGGCAATCTACTTCTATAAAGATTTACTGCCTTGGAAACTCAATGGGGGTCACTATGAGTTGGAATCAACTCCAATGGCAGTAGATTTGATTGTTTTTTTTAACCTCACTCACCCTCCATCAAGTTTTCTTGACCTTTTCCCACTTTCTCCCGTCCAGTTAAGATTTCTTCCTTTTCGAAACACTGGAGAATAAATATTTTCTAGCAACAAAAGTAACTTCTCTAAATATCACCTCCCAAAGATGTTTGCCTCTGAAATTCCACTATTAGAGTTGGGCGACAGATGTTGAAGATAGAGGGCCTGAAGAATTTTGCTTACTTCCTCGTTTGCCAAATTAGGTTCTCACTCCCTATCTAGACCTTCCTGTGCCTAAAAAAAAAGCATGCTTATTATTCAAGCCTGTGGGACAACTCCATGACCTACATCTTGAAGTCTTTCAACTCTACAATTTTCATCTTTTAGCTAGAAAAGCTGAGGTGGGAGGAGAAGGAGGCAAGAATGAGAATAGGCATTCTGCGGAGGCCAAATGGGTCTAACCAAATAAAAACATTTCAGAAAAGGTATGAGAACTGGAAACCAAAGCTGTGTTGAATCTGTAGAGCCAAAGGCCACCCTGGAACTTAGTGTGCTGGAATAGAGGGTTTTCAATCTTTTCAAGTATTTTAACATAAAAATGTTAAGATCCCAAAGAAAATGGTTATAGTTTTAGCATGAATTGGAGACTGCAAATGACAAAAGCTACTACAAATCCAGTAGCTGCTCAAATGGCTGTTCTCCACTGCTCACAGCAGCACCTGCAGACATCAGAAAGAGTTGTACATAATTATATACAAGAGGACTTATTTTCCCTACAGAAACATTTGTGGATGCAACTAGATTCCTCGAACTAACTCCAGTCACTCGCCTTCTATCTAGTAACCATAGTCCTAGAACATACATTCTCAAGGAGGTGGGGTGGGGTGGGTATTGCCTCTAAGGGGCAAAAACTGCTCCTGAAGGGGGCGAAAGAAAGCTTACTCTTTTTGTGTAGAAAGCTCAGGTACACATACAGGACATAATCAAATATACAGTACATATGTGCTGTTATAATTTGATATGGGGGAGGGGATGAAGGCTCCTTAAGGAGCACAACAATTAAGGGAGAAAAAAGTTACCAAACACTGTCCTAGAAGGAGCCTAAACTGAGACTATCAGGTGACGGTACAGGCAGGTTTTTTTTTTTTTTTTTTCTCCCAGACAGTAGACTGGGAGTCAGGGGTCTCTGGTTCTGTTACGACTTCGGTCAGAAAGAGGTGCTCTCTTCTCAGTGACGAGTAAACTGTGGGCAAGTCGTTGAATTGCTTCCTCGTGCATCAAAACGCAGAGGGCAATGCCAGCCTTTCGTTCCCTCACAGGCTGCTGTGTGTGGATGAAAAGGAACAACTGGGAAAGAGCTCTGAAAACTGCACAGCGCTGCACCAATGCGAAAAGCGATTCCTATTCTCCGTTGTACAAAAATCCCCCTGTGGGGCCCTTCGCCTCCCGTTGGGCCCCCTCGGCCTCCGCACTTGTTGCTTCTCCGCCCCGCCCGCCTTCACCGCAGACCTTCCCTTCGCGACACCCTCCACTTCCCACACGCACACATGCGGGCCCGGCGACCCCCTCACCCACACGACGAAGCCCACGCGCTCCGCTCCGGCCCTGGCGGCGTCCCCTGGCCCAGTCCCCAACCCAGGCCCGTCCCCCGGCCCAGGGTCCCAACCCCCGGCCCGCGAGACCGCCGTTTCCTAGACAGCGGCGTGACCGCTCCG